AAACTCAATCCCAGCCTTCCCTTTGTGGTATGGTACCTTGCAGTACAATTTCAGAGAGATCCATACACTTGAACACAAGTTATTGTCTGGAAACTAGAAAAATGCTTATTTTTGGCCCCTTTTTGGCCCCCAATTCCTAAAATTTTGAGGCAATTACCCCCAAACTCAATTCCAGCTTTCCCTTTGTGATATGGAACCTTGTAGTACAATTTCAGAAATATCCAAACACTTACACACAAGTTATTGTCATGAAACTAGAAAAATGCTTGTTTTTTGCCCCTTTTTTGGCCCCTAATTCCTAAAATTTTGAGGCAATTACCCCCAAAATCAATTACAGCCTTCCCTTTGTGATATGGAACCTTGTGGTACAATGTCAGAGAGATCCATACACTTACACACAAGTTATTGTCTGAAAGTTACAAAAATGCTTATTTTTGGCCCCTTTTTGGCCCCTAATTCCTTAACTGTTGGTACCATAACCCCCAAAATCAATCCCAACCTTCCTTTTGTGGTATTGAACCTTATGGTGAAATTTCATGGAGATCCATTCACTTAAACTAAAGTTAGAGTGCGAAAACCAATGTGTCTTCGGACGACGCCGGACGACGACGACGACAACGACGACGACGACGACGACGCCAACGTCATACCAATATACGACCAAAAAATTTTTAATTTTTGCGGTCGTATAAAAACCGGATGAATTATTAGATGTTTTTTAGATGTTTATATCAAAATATTTTTATTTTCATAAATAAAAATTCGGGAAAAATATTGTTTTAAATTGATTTGATGATTAATTATTATATGTTAATTATGTATGATTACTGTTAATATGGTGTTTACACAGCTTAACTTGGTGTTATTGTTATGTGTTTGAAAATCGTGATTGTTGTTTTAACTAGCTTTGATGTAAATTCTACATGTATTTAGCTTGGTATGAGTAGAAACAATGAAGATTCAAAATGTTATTGTTGTCGAGTTTAATAGTGGATGGTATCTTAACATTAAAAAAATATTCAACACAAAAAACCTTTTTAGAAAGTCACTTTAATTTGAAACGATGAAAAAAAATTATTTATAGCAATACAATAAGGGAGCTACCATTTGATTTTTATGGGGGGCTAGGATGAAAAATTTTGTCTTGCATTTTTTTTAAGTTGTAACCTCTGTCCTGCCTTTTTATTTTTCACTCTATTCTGTCCTGCTTTTTTTTTTTATTAGTTTATCCTGACTTTTTTTACATAAATTGTCATCCTGCCTTTTTTTTTACTCAAAAGTCCTGTCCTGCCTTTTTTTCAAATTTCATCCTAGCCACCACCCCCTCCCCCATAAAAATCAAATGGTAGCTCCCTAACCAAAACATGCTTAAAAAATTATTCAACACAAAAATCTTTTTAGAAAGTCACTTTATTTTGAAACAATGAACAAAAAAATATTTATAGTAATACACTAACCAAAAAATGATTGAAAAATTATTATCACAAAACCAATAAAAAGGGTGCGAACGTGTAGGGTGCGAATGTGAAAGGGGGCGAACGTGAATGGGAGCAAACGTGTTTTTTGGGCGAACCGCCCGAGATTCAAAAAAAAAAGTCTGCGTAATGATATATACATGTGTAACGGGAGTGGAGTTTCCACTGGCTTCGTTTTCCCGTTGTCTACCCAAGTTCTGGGATATTGGACAACTAAAACCACGTAAACATAAAGATGATGTTTATTAAGAGACATATGTTATGGTTGAATATAAGTTACATACAAGAATAATAAAATATACGGTGGTGGCTAGTCTACTTGTCATTGTAAAGTTCTATATAAATTTGCAAGCCAAACGGTATGAGCGTCTGCTCATTTCAAATCCTAAGTGTAGACTGCCCTGAACCCGGTGAGTGACGTCATACTTATAGTTCCTAGGGACAACGAGCCCGGCCGGGCCGGATGTCAGGCACGTGCAAGAGGCAGGAAGTCCCGACAAGAATAATTACATGGCCGGTCTCGGAAGAAAGAGTTACGGAACTATAAATAATACTAACATTAACCAATTTCCCCAAATAAATAGAATAAATAACAAGTAAACAAAGTGACAACCATTACACTCCCCCTCTCTTAAGACATAATGTGCCCACACATTAGTCCTAAGATCGGTCAGGTATACTTACCAAATTTCGTATACAGACACACATAGTTATCAACAAATTAATCAATTTACTGTTAATGTCAATAAATAATTTCAAAAATAGTTCAAGATATTCAACGGTCTTTAACTAAATGTTCAAAAGTCACAAATACATCACGAGACATCATCACGGAGTAAGGAATCCAATTTTAAAGTTTGAGCGGAGAATCCAGATACACATCTTGTCCAAGGTTCCAAGGAGGTAAATATGGTAAAAGTCGTCCAGTAGATTTTCCAAATCTGTAAAGTAGTCCAAGTAAGTGTTCCCCAACATTTAATTCCATGTGGTTTAGTTACGTTTAAAGTTATCGGCAAAAAGGCCAATATAAATTTCAATGTTCCCTCATTGTGGCCAGCTATCCACGCACTGAAACAATTTCAGTTTAATCTCCCATATTTTATCAGACACTGGAATAATTAAGAAGCACATTCTTCTTATAAAATCCTGACTCACCAAGAGTCTATAATAGTCTAAATACACAAGCACTGCACCACTTGATCGGGTGCCCCAATATGTATTTGTATACGTCTCCGAAAGCATATAGCCCATGGAATTAATATAAACATATAGAACACACATTTCTATACTGGAATCCATACAAATTGATTGTTTGTTTATCAAATATTTCAAAAATTAGTAAGTCATATAAAACAATTGGACTATATAATAAATCATCCCTTGTATTCCAGTAATCCCCAAACAATATCCTTAACCATGCAGACAGCATACCCATGGTGAACCAATAATTAGGTAGTAAAAATACATACGCAACAAGACTAACCAATAGTCCATACCCATCCTAGTGCCATTCTCTAGCACATAAGGTATTTCAAATTTGCCTGTATGTACCACCGAAAGCAGCTTCCCACAGCTAAAATACTGAGTGTACTTTCTTCTATTTAGCAATAATCCAGCACAACTCGTACAAGACAACCCTATTCCAGCTGTATGACAAAAATGTCATTATAATCCAAATTCTGACTACATCCACAATTCCTTCATACGCATTGCTTAGCTACTGAAAAGATTCAGTATTATTTTCCCTCCACGTAACAACCCCACCAAACTGAAATTAATTCAGTTTATTTCCAAAAGACCAAAGTAAAAATGAACATCATGATGATGTTATATAAAACATATTCTAGTACAAAACTGTACTTTTAATCCTTTTTTCAAGATTAATATAAACCGAACAAATTTCCAGAATATAATCAATGATGGCACAATATAGCCTTTTACATACGATATAACTTTGAAGTTTTGTGTATTGTTAATTCCCTCCTTTCCATGCAAGAAAGCTAAGTAATTGCTATTACATCCACACTCACAAGACATAAATGCAGACAATACTGACAGAAATGCAAGTACAAAATGTACTTTTTAATCCAAAACAATTTCAAGTATAATCCAACAAATAATTTGACTTTCCAAATCCAATTATGACAATAAATATAAATACGAATCACTTAAACGGAAATAACAAATTAAACAGCGTTTTCATAATTAGAACGACAATGAGTATTCCCTATTGGTACCTCCATACACACATTCCTTAGATGTCATGTGTTTTGACGTCAAAAATGTGACGTCATTTTGTAAACATGGCGTGATAAATCGCGGACTTCCTGAAAATTGAAAATCCATAATAAGCTTTATCCTGCAATAAAATGCAGTTAAATATTTAATTTTGCTGTTGTGTAAATTAGTACAAACATGGTGTGTCTGTTTTTCTTTTATGCAAGAACTGCATTTTTCCTCTGGAACGTGAACAAAATATTCACCTTGTGCTCCAATTTTAATTTTCCCTGCTGGATTTCTAATTTCAATTTCTGAAGGTAAGTCACCTTTACTTATCTTATGTACAAAACAATATTGAATGCAGTACTGGTCATTGTCAGACCGGCACAAACGGCCGAAATGATAAGAAGACGAACAATAAACTGTTCGATTTTGACTCCTAGGGATACAAAAATCCCTTTTATTCCAGCCATATTGCAGAAATAATGTACAAACAATACGTTTGTTTTAATTATTATCCTAAAATATCCCTCGGACGAGCCCCCAATGTAACGGGAGTGGAGTTTCCACTGGCTTCGTTTTCCCGTTGTCTACCCAAGTTCTGGGATATTGGACAACTAAAACCACGTAAACATAAAGATGATGTTTATTAAGAGACATACGTTATGGTTGAATATAAGTTACATACAAGAATAATAAAATATACGGTGGTGGCTAGTCTACTTGTCATTGTAAAGTTCTATATAAATTTGCAAGCCAAACGGTATGAGCGTCTGCTCATTTCAAATCCTAAGTGTAGACTGCCCTGAACCCGGTGAGTGACGTCATACTTATAGTTCCTAGGGACAACGAGCCCGGCCGGGCCGGATGTCAGGCACGTGCAAGAGGCAGGAAGTCCCGACAAGAATAATTACATGGCCGGTCTCGGAAGAAAGAGTTACGGAACTATAAATAATACTAACATTAACCAATTTCCCCAAATAAATAGAATAAATAACAAGTAAACAAAGTGACCACCATTACACATGTATTTATCTTTTTTGCTTTCAGTGATGTAAAAATAATTGATGGCTTATGAGATAGCTGTTTTACAAGCTCTTTTTATGTTTTATTGTATTGTATGCTTTTAACCGACTTCAAATAAATATCATTTGATTTGATTTGAAATGGTATGATTTTTTTTTACTAATTTTCGAAGAAAAAAGAAAGGTATAAGTTTAATTCAAATAACTATTAACAACGCACTTCGTCCTGTTCTGCAGGAAATATTTCGTCTCTTTCGTTGAATTTTACATTTAAACCTACCAAATCCTCTTATTAATTCAGTAAACACGCCTGGATCACTTTCTATGAGACACCAGTCTCCTGCGCTTGAAGCCATTTGAAAAATAGCAACCGGAAGTAGCACATGTTTTTTATGGTATAGTGTTCATTCAAGAACACTCACAGATGCTTTTCGGTTCGCCCTACTTAAAGTCATAGAAATGTTATTTCAAATCAATCCTTTACCAATAAAATCCACAAATGAATAATGACAACAAGTGAACAAACAAATAAGAAGCTTTATCCAGCTGTTGCAATGGTAAATATGTCTTTTTGTCTATATTAGAATATTCTGCTTGTGTGTATTTAATTCCTTTTGGAGGAACACCAAGACTTAGTCCAGGTTGCCACAAACACAAATACACACACACACATATTTTGCCACAGGCATTTGTTTCTATCCATGGGAGATCCACTATCAACGTATATCCTAAATATACGTTGATAGTGCCTATTAGTCGATCTTTCCATGGATAGAAACAAAATTAAGTGCCTGTGCATTTTGCCCTTCCTTCAGTGAGAATTGATCGTTAATTCATAGCGTAAAACAGCTATATATATAATATCGATATCTTTGGTAAAGCCTTTCCTCATCGGCGACGCCGGAACACAATACATGATATGTATGCGGAATCAAGGCAGAATTCAGAATGAATTCAGCATATGCTAAAATGAATTAAGGGAGCTACCATTTGATTTTTATGGGAGGGGGGCTAGGATGAAATTTGTAAAAAAAAGGCAGGACAGGAGTTTTGACTGAGAGTAATAAATCTGATCTCCTGCATTTAAACTGTTTGCTAGGTCCTGATGAGTGATGACAAGCTGGTTCTCATGGGATCGCTTCGTGGTGATTTTATACGGAGATCATTATTTTTCAGACCTAATAGCAAAACTTGCATAAAGAGCTTGTTTCAGTGGGTAGAGAGAATGCTCTCTTATCTCACTCCCTAATACTTGAAATCTCTTAAAAAGTCCTCCCAGCCATTTGATGTTGATTTTCATCCCCTCATACATGTCCTCATGTTTATCTTAATAGCTGTATATAATTGAGTATCAAAACGGTTAATCAGTATAAAAATAAGGAGATGTGTTATCATTGCTGTTGAATAATGAAAGACAAACATGTTGCACAAAGACCCTTGCTAAAGTAAGTTGTCTGTTTGGCTGTGCGGGATGTATAAATACGCACACACGTCTGTTCGAGAATGGGGACGTTAAATCCGATGCCTCATGAAGGGAGAGTGCCACACTCTCTGTATGTGAAAGAACACTTGTAACAACTCTAAGAAGGGTCCATAAGTGACCTGTTTAAGCCAAAATGTCTGGCTTTGTCCAACATGCCCTCATTTTACATTGGAAATCTTTAAAGGGCCCATAAGTGACCTGTTTAAGGCAAAATGTCAGGCTTATCCAACATGCCCTCGTTTTACATTGGAAATCTATAACTAAATTCCCGCCCTTCATTCCGGTCGTCTCACCTTGCGGAACCTACCTATTGTATTAAATGTTGATTTCTTATCGTCCTAAATTTGAATGAAATATTTGCCACCGGACGTTAAGCGAGCAACAATGAACCAATCAATATATATTACTCTTCTGTATTAGTCAAAAGTTTTCTCTGTTATGTTAGAGAAAATATAAATGCGGTCTTTTGATTTTTAAACAGTTTGTATATCTCTTATTTATCCCCTGTATAAACATATATCCGCGTCCAAATTCTGTCCCGATTCTGCTTTTGTATTATCGTGCAAAAATCCAGCAAAGTAACCTACTAATCTTGTCTCGACACATTTTTGTTTAGGGGCCAGCTGAAGCCGGCCGCCTCCGCGGGTGCGGAATTTTCTCGCTGTGTTGAAGACCCATTGGTGGCCTTCGGCTGTTTTCTGCTCTTTGGTCGGGTTGTTGTCTCTTTGACACATTCCCCATTTCCATTCTCAATTTTATCGTCAGTAACAGTATATCTCTTACATGTTGTCACGAGGCGCGGATTTATTCAAATCTTTGTATTTAAGGACCTCGATAATTTGATTTTAGGATACCCATAAATAATAATGGACTTAGCTTCCTGCTAACATTCACTTCATTTGAACTTTGGGTGGATAGTTGTCTCGTTAGCAATCATACCTTATCTCCTTATTTTCATATTCATGATTATTTCAGGACCTCCATAATAAAATATATTAAAAAAAAAATCTTCAACTACACTGTTCATTCTAAGAGAAGGTTACCCAAACCAATCACCATGCATATTGGTGTTATCTCCGGTTATGCTGGCTAGTTAAGACTAGTAACCCCACTCTTAATACCATTATTAGATCACCATGGCCTACATTCAAATGACGTTTTATTATTATTTAGTGAAACTTTCTTCTTGGATACTTCAGTCACCTACAGAATTGAATTGTGACTTCGAAAAGATGTTAAATGAAATTTGATAGCTTCGCAATATGATTAAAATTTACATTTTACTTGTTTAGTGTTACTTTGACTATATTGAAGATGAAAGTAGTTGAACAAGGCAAATATGTGTAATCGAATATATTTTGTGTTTTAGTATGGCCCTTGTACTGTTAAAAACGTCACAGAAGGTGAAAAGAAACTGTGGTGCGCTTGTGGTTTGAGCAAACAACAACCTTGGTGTGACGGTAAGTCTTAATGTAATCTAGTATAATGATTAGTCCGAGATTGCTTTGAAGTCTGACTCCCATCAAAAAAAAAATATAAGAAAAGAATGGTGTTTTATTTATCTGCTTCCCATTGGATCCGCTTGTATTTACGCAACGCTCAACAAAGTGTAGTAGCCAGCCGAAAACCAGCTGAGCGCTCCATATGACTCCCAACAGGCGCGGCAAGTCCCTAAAAACTGTGAGACGTCAGAGCTAACTCGGACTAGTACATTCGTTACTAGATGAGTATAATTTCTCTGTCTCTGTTGTTGTAAGATATCTTGCTTAGTTAAAACAGTAAATAATGAAACAAACACTTTATAGATTTCATGCGTCCGAAGCTTTCTGGATTTATCTTCATCGAGAACGCTCAAAGCCGAATATTTGAAAGCCATGGATTATCAGGGATGTATAAGAACAGAAACAGTTGAAGAGCTATTTGACCAAATTACCAAAAAGGACCTAAAAAATAATAGCCAAATCCATCGAAGGTCATCTTTGCCTGATGGAGTTGAAACCTTAGTATCTTACTACTTTCTAAACTTATATAAACGGACAATTATTGGGCTTTGAACTAGCTGTCAGTAACTTCGCGTACTCTCAGATCTGTACTTAGTGTCTTTTTGTTGTGGGGATGTATAAGTACCCTGCCACGTCCACTCTGTGTTTTTGTTGCTTGTTTTTGTGTTTTGTATCTATCTGATGAGTTAAGCCCTTTTCAACTGATTTTTATAGTTTGTTCATATGTTGTACTGTTACACCACTGTCCCGGGTTAGGGGGAGTTTTGGGCGCCCGCTAACATGTTTAACCCTGCTACATGTTGTATGTGCATGTCCCAAGTCAGGAGCCTGTAAATCAGTGGTTGTCGTTTGTTGCTGTATATCATATTTGTTTTTCATTCATTATTTTGTGCATAAATCAGGCCGTTAGTTTTCTCGTTTGAATTGTTTTACATTTGTCATTTCGAAGCCTTCTATAGCTGACTATGTAGTATGGGCTTTGCTCATTTTTGAAGGCCGTACGGTGACCTATAGTTGTTAATTTCTGTGTCATTTGGTCTCTTGCTTGTTTTTAAAATTAAAGAAGGTTTGTTATATAATCATGTCAGTACCGATATAGTCCACCAGCGGTATCGACCAAGTGCTTTAAAAAGTGCACGTAGGGATGAAATACTTTATTTTTTAGTATATACATTTTATAATAACTCAAACTTTAACAGTTAAAAGTGAACAACAGTTAATATACAGTTAAAAATCATGTAACGGTCAAATAGCTGATACTTGAAATTTGTGAAATGATCCACTGCAAGAAACTTTTGATTGATGATCGAAACCGCCTTCAAACATTGCCTCCACATTTGCTAAACCTATATAATTTTACGAAAATAATCATTGAAAATCGGAAAAATGATTCAGTGACGTTCAACTGGATATCAAACTTTGGTTACTAAACAAAAAGTAAATGATACGTTAACGATTCTTTAGGAGAAAAAAATATATGGTTGGTGAATTACTTTCACCGTCAAACATGGTCACAGCCACCACTTAAAAATTGAAAATCTAACCTTAAATCTGTTATATTAAGGTATATAAGGGGACAAAATTTCAGAGAAAGTTGCCTGTGGTTAACTGGTATATTTATGATCCATTTCAGAATTGCGCTTGTTGATCCGAAACCACCGTTATATTAGCAATAGTTTTAACAAAAATCATTTTTTTTAAGCATGTGAATGACTTATAAATATCAAACTTTTATCTGATATATTTCGGTAATCTTCATGAGTAACGATTGTTGACTTCAATTGTTTTCAAATATGACCACCATGGTTATAAAGAAAATTAATGAACATTTGATGAAATCATTCGGAGGGCAATTGCTTTAATGACATAGTTATGATAAAGTATTTGTTCAAGTCCCCAATACTAAAAATTTGGCTTTAAAATAAAAGAAGAAAAGTTTTACACCCCCTTCCCCCAAAAAATAAAAATCAGCTGAAGAATCTTTGCTACGAACTTTCGAATAAATGATATATTTATGATAAATATAGTTGATTATCCATACAACCTTCATACATGGCCACCGTTGGTACTATTAACGCCATCAAACTTTGGTTAGTTGATACATTTATGGACCTCTTTATAAATTGTGGTTGATGACCCTAGTTATCGCCAAATATGTCTACCACGGATTCTCAAGAAGGAGTATTGTTAAATTCGCATAAAAAAGTTTTGACACTCATTTGCAATTATGGTTGATGGCCCACCTTCAAATATTGACATCACCGTTACTAAAAATAAACAATTTGACAATTTTTTTGTAAAAATTCACGTAAAGGACTAAACTTTGAGTAAAAAATACATTCATGATTCTCTTTTAACAGTTATTTTTAAGAGGCGACAGTCTGGATTCGGGGGAGGATTTTGGAAATGACTATCATGGCCTAGAAAGAATTAACTGGGGGAAATCTTGTACAAGACAGGATGAAAATGATATTCTGCAACACAAGATGCAGACGAATAAAATAGTCAGTGTAGCAACAGATGAAAATTCCATTTGCCAACTATCCTCCTGCTTCCCCCCAAGAATATCAAATGGTCGTTTCCTAATAATATGCAACTGCATTTAAACATAATCATCGCCTCGATGGTCTCGGGATGGCGTGCTCTTCTCGAGCGTAGGAGGGTTACGATTCAATCCAGTTTGATATCTCCTCTTGGTTAACCACACTAACAGTGTTGTTGTATTTAACTTCATCTCCTGGTACATGATGCTATTGAATTATGTTCCGTCTGATAACACTTAGTATAAGTTGCTGTGTAGAACATTAAACACCCCATACCAACCGCCAAATATATAAGCCAGGTGAGCGAACAATTAAGACTTCATTGAGCTTCTTGCCTATTTGTTTTTTAAACTTATTTATCTATTTTCTATTGAAAGGTTCACATAAGGGGACTGGAATTAAACCTGTGAAATGGACAGTTGATAAGGCTCAGAGACTTTACCAGATTTGTGCATGTAAATATACAAAGGACCCACCATATTGTGATGCCACACACACAAATTTACCGTCTGAAATATTGGACAGACAGGAAAATTGTGAAGACAAAGCTGGACATGAACCCACTGTTAAATTATGCACAGGATGTGGCTGGATACCGGATTTTTAATAAAAAATAGAATAAATATCTACTGAGTATTGTTCTCACCACCACATATTTAATTCTAAACTAGCATCATTTCATCAAATATTTTGGTTATATTTTACTGAATATAACTTATGAATTTAATGCGTTGATTTATTATTTGCTGATTTTTTTAATTCAATTTGTGTACAAAGTAAAAGGTACTGTACGTCATCAGCCCTCGTCGCAACTTTACCAGCTGTATAATTTTGAAACTCAATGAAATAGGAAAGGTAGTGTGGAAGTATGGTTCCAAATAAAAAGTGATCTTTAACGCACACATACACACATGTTTGTGGTTATATTATTTATAAAACTAACAAAGTATAGGAGTTGTTCTTTTAATCTAGATGGTCGATCCTATGTGGTTGCGTCTTTATACGTATTGCACCGAAAAAACAGCGCCCTCGTTTTATGAACCCTATTTATTTTATACCTACCCTATGCACTCTGGAGGACGTTGAAAAACATAAAAAAAGGTTCAAAATAGATGTTGCAGCATGAGTGCGTACAATGAGCAATGACGTTGTTTGCTTGTTTGTTGACCATGATTTCAATGTTGCGTTACTTTACGATCTATTGAAACTTCAAAGAGTAACACATATTCATTCGTAGAAAATTGAATTATAATACAGATAAAAATAGCATAGCTGAAAAAAGGTTAGATCAATTTGTTTCCATATTCACAATAGCAAATAAAAAAATCGTTGTTCACTTTAGAAAAAACAAACACAACAATTTTTTAAAAATTTAACCATTTTTTTTTTAATCTTTTAATACAAAAAAAACGTATTTTTGTCAAATACCCCAAAAGGAAAAGTGTAAGATATGTTATAAACTGAACACATATTTTGGTTGAGGTGGTCGCTGCTGTAAACTTCGGCCGGATTGGGGGTGAAGGACTTGGATGAAACATTTTGTCCTTCATTTTTTTTAGTTGTTATCTCTGTCCTGTCTTTCTATTTTTCAGTCTGTTAGGTCCTGACTATATTTATTCGTTTATCCTGATTTTTTACATAAATCGTCATCCTGCCTTTTTTTTGTCAAGTTGCTCACCCTGCCTTATCTTTTATTCAATGGACTTGATGAATTAACGTTGTACTTGAAATGAAACCATACTTAACTACAAAAATAACCAAATTACATACTAAAGATATTGCTCGATTTTTATAGTAAATGGGTTTGTGTTATAAACTGTCATGTTCATTATTCATATTCTTTCATAAGTTTTAGGATAGTGTTATTTTTTTTCTGATTTAGTTTACTTGATTTTGAAAAAAAAAATCCCGAAATTATAAGTAAATTCAGAACATGTAACCAGCCATGCTTTGTTTAGAGAAAAAATGGAGATGGCAAACCATGGCACAGTGGAAGGAAATGTACTTTATAAACTCCAGCGATATACTTTCTTAATTTATAATTAACTGTTTTGCTATCCTCGGTTGAAAATTATATATTGTAAATATTTAAATAGTTGCATAGAAAACAATCAGTTTTAAACAGTGTGGTTATTCACTAAATGTATTGATAAAAGGTGACTCCATTTTTGTACATACTTTTACAGTAGTCATCCTTAATTTCTTAATATTTCGTTTATAAGTTTATCATACATGTATGATTTTGTATTTCATTTTAATACGCACGCATGCCACACGTTACTTTGGCGGATTGTTCAACAATGTTATGCAAAGCTCTATTCTTACGGTATGAAATTAAAGGATAAATTTTCAACCAATCAAAATCGAAAACAGTACATTTATATAGTTCCTTATAAACTACGACATTTCTCACAAGTATTTATTTATTTTTTAGTTCCACACATGCAAAAATAAAATCTTCGCCGATGAAACATTTCAAACCTTTTTACACCAACATGCCTTCACTGAATTCATTTGAATTTCGTGGTGACCATGATAGTACATTGCATAGTACATCTATATTCACGTGCACACATGGTACGATCTTTCGGGGACAATTTGCTCGTTTATGACACGTCATTTCTGAAGAACAAACGCTTAGCTTCTTTATTTTCGTTTTATAGCATGAAAACAATAAAAGAGGAATGTGCAACCCATCATAAATTTGAAATGGATCAGTATTATGAGATCCTTATTATAAGTAACTACGACATTGTCTGGATAATAACCTAGCGTCAATATGAAAGAAATTAAAGTGGTTCATACATTCATCCGTATAAAAGCGGCACATGTATTTTATTTTATCCTTATATTTTTCATAGTGCGGTACAAGTGCTGCATGCATAAAGAATATTACTTAACACAAATTATTAGTATAATATTTCGACCCCACTATTTGAAATTCACAAAATACTTATTTAATTATTTCGACCAAAAATCATTGTTTTTTACGTTCGTAGTAACGTAGTACATTCCATTGTCGGTCACCTGTGTCAATTCACGTGCACACAACAATTGTTGTTGTATTTAAATCTTTCGGCCAATGAAGTGAGACGTTACAAGTTGTTTGTTTGTGATACGCCAGAATGTTATCAATGAATTATCAATCGCTAAACTTGACTGCATTTCAGTGTAATGATGAAAAAGTCTCTTATATTAATTAAATCGAATACAACGGAAACATTACTAAGTTAAGATGGATTGAATGAATGCTATCAATTCTCAATATTTCTGAAAAAAATCATTTCCTTGTTTACCGTTTTCCGCATTGATATATGTAGGACATGAATAAGGAAATAAATCATTGTTTTATAATTTGTCCTCTTTCTTTCGATCTTGAAAATATTTTTACATAATTTATTAATATTTCTTCCCTAAAGGAGAGAAAGACAACTTCGGTAAGTATTGACTTATTCTAAATTGTCATTTAAAAATCACTTATGTACATATATATTAATATGGATCTTTCATCTGGTAGTTCAAAATTTTACTGATATGTATAACTGCATAGAAATCAAAAGACTGATTGTTCGTGTTTATTGAAATATATTTAATCTCTCCTAATACGGGAAAATCATTTACGCCTCATCAGAATGACTACCGATGTAATTAATACATCTCACACATTGCAAAAAGGTGCCGAACCCTTTGTCGATGAAACTAGGTCCCTTTGTTTTCTTCAACCCTACGATACCGATTTAAGTACTCACGACGCAGCAAACATTAACACCAAATCAAGCTTTGAAAGTTATATACATTTGTAGGTCAAGTTCCAACCTTGCAAACCAAAAATTTACAAATTTGAATATATTATTCAAGTATTGTCAGAGTCACTGGCCTCTGAATGGATCGAACTCTGATTGTACCATATATAAATTTGAATTCTACCCAAATAATGATATTTTTATCTTCAGTTTTCTAAAAGATAATTGCCTTTAAAAAAGTCTATCTTCAGAAGTTTTCATATGCTTGAAAATTCTAAGTGTTTTATTTAAAGCCTATTCGCCTTTTTCATGAATATGTTCTATTTCAAGTATAAAATGTAAATTCCAACAAAAAAAAAACCCAAAAAACAGGGATTGTTACTCATTTTGGGAACCAATCCCGTTTGTGTGGTTTTTTCCTAACCCGTATAATAACATGCTATCCATAGGGCAAACTTACTGTTACATATGTTGGTACTAGTGCGTTTGACAAGGCATCTTTTTGTTGTGAATCTTAGATTTATGGATAGCATTTAATGCATTAGTTAAAGAATGTTCATTGGCTGCGTCATCTTTGGTTAAGATACGCACAAAAAAATATCACACATACTTTGTAGGACCGAGTTAAAATCGTGCACGCACAAGAAAGGACTTGATTTATTTATTTAATTAAAGAATTGTCTATATTTTTACGAAAACGTTGTGTATTATGAAAACCTAGTTTATTAATGTCGCACATCTTAAATTAGGTATCAAAACCAAGAATATAAATATGTCTGGAGTTAAATGATTTACTGATTTAATATGTATTCAATTTCAAACAGTTGTATTCAGAGGAAAACTGTTTGAATCGCATATTTTGCTATCATCTAGATGCCGCAACCTGGAAATGTCAATGCAGCTTAATTTTAATGATGATTAAATGTTGATTTACTTAATATAATGCATACAGAAAAATCCCAAATTTTTAAAATCGAACAAAACAAATGTTAAAAAGTGACAGTACTCTCAAAACACCATCTAATTTTGCACATAAATTTTTACCTGTTTCAATTTACTTGAATTGATAGATAATGGAAGAAAGTGACAACTGCCCAATATGTCTTGAGAGATTTTCCTCTCCAAAGATTTTGGACTGTAGACACACGTTTTGCTTGAGATGTTTAAAGGGTTATTCCGATGAGATCGGAACAAAACAACATAAGCTATCTTGTCCACTTTGTCGCACAGAATGCAAAATACCAAATGACGGACTTAGTCGATTAGTTTCAAATTATTTTGTGAGTATTTCCGAATCAGACAAATATTGCTTGAATTGTCAAAAGCATCGGAAAGTTGCTGGAAGTTGCAAAGTTTGTGGTTTGTCTTTATGTGTGGTTTGTTCCAAAAAACATTTTCATTCTCCGCCAAACAAGGAGTATCACGACAATAGTAGTGAAATGCCAGAACCCAGAATAGCTTTCCGCTCATCGTCTTTACGACGCTTACCGAATTTAAAAACAATAAATTTTTATAAGCTAGAAACACAATTTGTTGTTGAGTCACCACAAGAAAACGACCGTCATATCATATATTCAATCCGACTTGCTTCTTCCGGTGGTGTTTTAGTAGTAGCTTCTGGTGTTCCATTCATATTACTTATGAATCAATATGGAAAAACTTTAGATAAAATTCATACACCACATCAGTGCGTAGGGATATATGAACTAACCGGAGGTGATTTATTAGGCACTTTTCCCTTTAACCGAAATATACTTTCCTACAAATTCGGTAAATGGTCAACCTTTGCTGCTTGTCCTGATTTTTTTCCTTTAGATATAGTTCAGTTAACAAATGGAAACATACTTACGTGTGGTAAAAAGGTGGATATGCCATTTTCAAGAACCGGGCAGGGATGTTTACAACTGTATTCTAGTTTCGGAGAACCCCTTCAAACAATTGACAGTCAGTTTGGAATGTTTGATTTACCACATAAAATTGCATA